CCAAATAACATTAAGACATTTTATCATGAATTTGCACTATGACAAATCAACTTTCAAGCATTTTCTTGACTGTTTTAGAGGTTTTGCCAGCATTTGACACAATCTGAATACATACAGACAGAGTAAACAGGGTCAAAAAGAAAACTGAGTGAGCACATAAGGCATGGAGTTTGAACTCCAATAAAAATATTCATTAAAGAGGCAGAATGAGGTGGGGGGAGCGAAGAGAGGTATTCTGAAGAAAGAAACACATTTACATCACATTAAAAACCATGCATAGAAACTTATTATTGAACACGGTGAAGAAATTAAGTTTTCCAAATTTATATATCCACTTTTCAAGGTATTCTGATAAAAAAAAATTCCTTTGGGCAGGGAAAGACCCTCCTTTACCTCTCAAAAATGAACTTAAAGATGTTACCTTTATTGTGAGTGACTTCGGGAAGATGGAAGAGTGGATGCTTAGCTTGGAAGGCTGGCAGGACACTTTCAGAAGCATGTCACTGAGGCCTAAATCTCAAAAAATCATGGCAGGTCTGGTGAAGACTATCCAAGTTTTCTTGCAATGTTTCTAACTAGAAAGAAAAGAGAAAATCTTCTTGATCTTTTAGGCAGCCTCCTCACTGATAACCAAGCTGTTTTGCTAATTTGTTTTGCTAACTTGATCTTGTATGGAATGCTCTCCTGAGTTACTAAGATCCTACTAAAAATGTGACTGTTTGAATCACATTATCACATTCAGAATTCATAGGAGAATGGTAATTGAATCTTCATTTAGTATCTAAAAACAAAATGGAATTATATTGAAATTGATCTTACCTGTTCACGACTAATTATTGCTGACACTTTTCATATGATGGATCAGGAATGTTTGCTGCTTAAATAAATATATCATTTCCATTGATCAGGTATTTGGTATGAAATAAGAGGGCAAAAGAAACTACTTAAAGGATGGACTTTTCTTAGAAAATAAAAATAAATAAGAGCACAACTCTTCTTGGGGAAAGTGTCAATAAGAGATATAAAGATTCTGTCTTCTCTTTTTAAATATCAGAAATCCTGAAATAGCATATTGTAAGAATTTGTACTTCACTTATCCCAAGCTAACAAGAAAGATTTTTGTCTAAGACCCTCTCCACAAAGATGACTTGAGAGCCAGGTAAATGGCTACATCTAAACAAACTACTCATAGCAGATATGTTTTCCAAGCCTTTCTGAAAAAGCAGTATCTACTGCATAATATGCAATGTAAATTGTTAAAACTCCTTGAAATAGCTGGGAAATACAATGGCAGGGGAAGAGGTGGGTGGAGAATAACACTTGAAATATGAGATTTCACTGTACCAAGAATCTTTATATTAAAAGAGCTGTATTAAAAACAAAAGCAAATCAAACCCAACATAAAACAAGAAAATGCAGTAGTTTCTGAGGTGTGGTCTTGTTGGTGAGTTCCACTGGGATATATTTATATGCTCTCTTTCAACCAGACCATCACCAAACAATTGTTTGTTCTGTACTTAACAATTAAAACTGACCAGAAGGCTTATCCACCATGAGCTTCAAGCAGCCATAGGAGTTAAGAACACATATGGTGCTTTTATATTTATACAAAGCAATTTTTTATGAATCCTATAGGGATTGGGGAAATAGAGCTATAGTAGTCATTCCTTTCTAGAAAGAGCACTTGTAAAATACAGAAAGTGATTAGGTAAATATCCCTCAATACTGAAATGATCAGTTAAAGAATTTTAGAAAAGTCAGCAGTTCATTACCTGAGTTTCCCATTTAAAGGCAAAATAGTAATTAAATGCTTTTTACTTAAGAAAGTGAACAAAAACTTACAATATTAAAAAGGGCCAGTGTCAGAAAATTTAGACTCAAACTTAATTTGAGACTTTCGAAGTTTTATAAAAGCTAATAGGAATATCTATGAATTTTCCTTCCTAGTTAAAACATGAAGTCGTAGAACCATACTGACTTACTGGATGTTATCAAAATTTAGGTTGGGGGTCAGCCTGCAAAATCATTAAAAAACAAATCAATATTTTTTGAAATTTTGAGCAAATTTTTACAAGTGATAAAAAATAAATTATTAGTGACTTCAATTATGAACCCATAGGAGATTTTTAGTTAACCCCAAATAAAGACTTCAGCATAAACGTGATTTTTAACCTGAAGAGATCCCTTTTGAAGGGTAATATAGAAAGTAAGTAAAAATTTTATCCAGAAAAATAGTGCACCCAGTGTTTTGCCAGCAGTTACCTAAGCTTGTCTTTCAACAAGGTGTTTTTGTTATGCTCAACCATGGACAATCTGCCAATAAATTATTTGTTTAAAACAGACAGGGCCGGGCGTGGTGCCTCACACCTGTAATCCCACCACTTTGGGAGGCTGAGGCAGACGGATCACTTGAGATCAGGAGTTTGAGACCAGGCTGGCCAACATGGAGAAACCCCATATCTACTAAAAATATATAAAAAATCAGCCAGGTGTTGTGGCGGTCACCTGTAATCCCAGCTACTCCGGAGGCTGAGGCAAGAGAATTGCTTACACCCAGGAGTCGGAGGTTACAGTGAGCCAAGATTGCACCATTGCACTCCAGCCTGGGTGACAGAGCGGGACTCTGTCTCAAAAAAAGACAAAACAAAACAAAAAACAGGGCTATGTTTCTAAATACAATACATTGTTCAAACTCAGGATTCCAACAATATTCTAAAATTGAATATCATACAAGAACTATAACCATGTTATTATTCTGAACATACTATTTCAATTCCGGGTCTCAATAAATTAGCAAAATAACTATTCTAAAAGATTAACATAGAGCAGAAACTTAAAGCACTTTGGTCTGTATGATTAGATTATTAAACAAATGAAAATAATCTCTTTCCCTTTTTTTTTTTCTTTGAGATGGAGACTTGCACTGTCGCCCAGGCTGTACTACAGTGGCACGATCTCTGCTCATTGCAATCTTGGCCTCCTAGGTTCAAGCAATTCTCCTGCCTCAGCCTCCCAAGCAGCTAGGACTACAGGCATGCACCACTACACCCAGCTAATTTTTTTTTTTTTTTTTTTTTTGTATTTTTAGTAGAGATGGGATTTAACCATGTTGGCCAGGATGATCTCGATCTCCTGACCTCGTGATCTGCCCACCTCAACCTCCCAAAGTGCTGGTTACAGGTGTGAGCCACTGCGCCTGGCCAAGAATCTCTTTCTCTAATGCTTCGGCCCACCATGTATTGTAAAGTTTAAAACACAACTTAGGCACACATTTCTGAGGAGCAATTCTCATCATTGGCTTTTGTATACAACCCAAAGTAGCAATGAGTAAATTCACCCAAGGAGCAATTTTTTAAAACAACATTTTGAAAACCCAAAGCATCTTTCTACTTTCTTTCATTGTTAAGTCACAAAACTTACTTAAATCAGTTTAGAGCTCAGAAAATGGTCAATGTGAATTTGGTACATATAACAAAGTTCTCATAATCAGTAGTTCTGGTTCTGCATCAAGGGCATAAATAGCGCATTTCATTTTCCTGTTCTACATGCTTAATAGTCAGTGAAATATTTTGCCCAAGAGCCCATGCTATGTGGGATTTTAAGTACAAAGGAGAATAAAAGCTCTGCTGATGGTCAGGCAAAAATTACTGCTAAGCAACAACAACTTAGCAATTTATTCACACTTTAACAAACAATTTTCGATGAGAGATACATATTTTAAGCCAGAGAGCAGATAGAGTTCCTGTGCCTGTAGCACTAGTATTCACAGCAAGGGCAGGCTTGAGGGAAATCGATCAACATCTGGTCATCCCTTGGTATCATGGGGAATTGATTCCAAGATGCCCTCGGATACCAAAATCTGAGGATGCCCAAATCCTTGATATAAAATGGTGTAGTAATTGCATATAACCTATGCACATCCTCGCATATACTTAAAATCATCTCTAGGTAACTTATAATACCTAGAACAATGTAAATGCTATTTAAATAGTTGTTACGTGGTATTGCTTAGGGAATAATCACAAGTAAAAGAGTCTGTACATATTCAGTACAGATACAACTTTCTTTTTGAATATTTTCCATCCACAGTTGGTTGAATCCATAGATGCAGAACCCACAAGTACGGAAGGCTGACTGTATATACAAGTGGATTATTTTGTTCAACAGGCAAAATTTGAATAGATTACCACTGCCACACTGTGCTGAGAAAAGGAGAGGGCCTCCCTGCAGGACACCAGCTCTTTAACAGGGTGCTTTGGCAAATTTTTTCCCATCTGATGCAGCCACATATCAAGATATAAAAGTTGATTAAATTACTCAAAAACCAGGCTTCTAATTCTATAATTTTTAAATTTAATTACCCACAAGAATATTAAAATAAATCTAGGTTTTATAAGGTTGTTCACCAGTACTACATAGCAGTATTGAGATTAAGGTGGGAAGAGCCTCTGTATTTAGGTTTTAAATATTTTTAAAATGTTGGTAAAATGCAAGTAAGTTAAATGATAAATGACCAATTCAAACATATCGACCACTAAAGATTATTTTCTTCACTCACAAAAACCTTGTCTAAGGATAATGATAACTGTAAGGTATGTGAAATAATACAATTTCGGGTTTTGTTGGAGGCAGAAGAACATTTAAAATACTCTTACAATACGTGACAATGCACTTATGTGAAGTTCCACTGAATGAAGTTCTTGGCCAATGGAGAAGGCAGCTGGTATTAAAATAACTAGCACAGATTCCTTGATATACACACAATGAAAACAAAAATATGGACCCTGTACAGGTGTAAACAAGTTAAAAATGGCCTTGGCAAAATATCTTCCTCTATTTAAAAAATGTCAAAAAGCATGCAACTTATAATTCCCTCCTTTCCACAAGAATGAACTAAAAAAATGAAAACAAATGAAAAAAACCACAACAAATGGAATCATGTCTTTCTGTCAGTAGATAATAGATACGTTGTGTTTCAAGACAAATAAAACTTTAAAATATTAATATTGAAAAAATACAATTAAATTTTTATTAAAAATACATATTCCTTACTCAATCTTTGTGTACATTTTGTTTTGTGTGAAAAGGAAAAAAAAAATAGGAAAGGCATTAACACTACCTAATTATTCACACTGTATTTGGTAGAAGCGTGTTTCAGTCAAATTTTAACAAAAAATAAGTTACTCTGTTTTCATTTGCTCCCGGACATCGGAAGGCAGAGTTTCAAACAGAGCATCTTCCACAACTAAACCAGCTCGCTTCAGAGCCCGACAGTCGCCCAGTTCAGGAGGGAGGATTTCAAAGTGATTGCCTTTTACATCTAAGTAGGAAAGAAATAGTAAATTTCCAATTTTCGGTGAAAGTACAGATAGGCTGTTTTTCCCAATCTTCAGAGTTTTAAGTTTCTTGCAGAAGTAGAGTTCATCTGGAAGGCTTTCTACTTTGTTACACGTGATGGAAAAATACTGTAAACTTTGTAGAACTCCGATTTCAGGTGGGATAAATCGAATGTCATTGTAGGATAAGTCCAAGTATCGGATCTTGTTGCATAGGAAGAGGTGGGAAGGCAGTACCTCTATTTTATTGTGACTAAAGGACAGGCGTTCCAGGCTGGTGAGTTTCTTTATATGCTCTGGGATGTAGGTGATGCTGTTATGCCACAGTTTTAGCACTGTCAACTTTCTCAAGTGCTGAAAGCTAACGATTTCTTCTATAGATTTCAGATTGTTTTCCTTCAGGTCCAATTCCTGGAGGCTGAGTAGGCTGAACACAGCATGAGGAATACGCTCCAGGTCACAGTGGACGAGCTCCAGCTCTGTTAGATTGGTCATCTTCTTTAAGTTGTTGAGCATCACCAGCTTGGTGCCATCATTATGTATGCACATCTTCTGGAGATGGCTGGAAACATCAACAACTGCTTGAGGGATTTTGGAAACATTGCTTTTGATAGAGAGAATTTTAAGGCTTTTGAGATCCCGCAGAGACTCAAGGGTGACATTTTTGGAAATATCATGACTTAGAGAGCCAACCAGGTACAGTTCTTCCAGGTTTCGGAGTCCATACATCCAGGGGGGAAGCTCTCTCATATCATCAAACTTGACGCTCAAGACCTTGAGGTTTTCCTTCAGGAAAGAGAGAGCCGCACTGTGGATTTTGACAGAGCATTGGTGTAGAGAGAGTTCTTGAAGATTGTCTAGCTGTGCAATGGTGGCTGGTATCATTACATTCTTAATGATTTCAAGTTTTAGAGACTGCAACTCTGTGATTTCAAAAACAGTGTCTGGAAGGCCAGAGAGCATGATAAGAGGCAATTCCAGTCGATTATGGGCATTTGTCTGTAGCTTCTGTCTCAGTTTATCGGGAGTCCATTCATTATTTAAGTTCAGCTGCTTTAATTTGTTTTCACTGACTTCGGACAGGAACACTGCAAATCTCTTGGAATAAAGAGGGTCATACTGATCTATCATATGAAGCATAAAAGCAAAGTCATTTTTCACATCTGGAATATCATCAATTCCAGTCTCCTGCCGGACATACTCAAAGGAATATTCCCGTAGAGAACGGTAAAACAGCCAGTATAAGGTATAAAGGCACGTCAATCCATAGATACTGACAAAGCACAGATAGCAAAAGGAGAGTTTTGAGAACAAGTGTGCCATGGTATGATTGCAAGAGAAGTTTTTATATCCAGTCATGTCCTGAATGTCCACATTACAGTCCACCGTAAACTGGACCTTGGAAACCAGAGCGCTATTATATGCAATGATGATTAGGAATTTGATAACCTTAAGCACAGTCTGGCGAACATACATGGCATACAGAATATCGCCTTCTTCCACATGCAGCCTGAACTTCTTCACCTTCTCAAATAAGGCCTTCGCCTGCTCACCTTCCTTTTTATCCAGAGCCCCTGCAGTAGATTTGTCAACCACAAACTTCTCAGGAATGGACTTTAAAGACTGAGAGTTGACCAGGCTGCCTTCTGGACCAGACTGGATGGTGTTGGACCTGTTCATGTTGTTCTTCCTGTTGTCCTTTTCCTCTGAATCCTCCCCAGACACTTCAGATAAAGCTCGTGTGGTCCAAGGAGAGTCAAAACACTTCCCCAGAATGGAGATGAAATGTTCTATTTTGGAGCTGGAGCCAGGGAATTTGAACCAAAAATTACTGCAGAGCATAAAGACCAGGGTATGGATGAGGACCAGGTAAGGGAAATACTTGGCATACCAGTGGAGGGCTCGCTCGTAACACATCTGGTTTATAAAGCTATACTGCTGAAGGTCCAAATCCGTCTTCAGGCCTTTCATTTCCACAGTGATGGGGTTAGCAGGCGATGGTTTAGGTGGAGGCAGCGGGGTGGTACTGGCAACTGCTTGAGAAATATTCGAAAGGGAAGAGTGGTTTTGAGCAGGCTGCACTCTTTTCGGAAGGCAGATTATCTTGTCTTGCATGACCTGAAACACAGAAATAATATTTTCAAATTATATTACTCAAAGAGCTTTCATAATGTCATTACTGCAAAGAAAGCAGCAATAACATCCAATAAATGTCCGTTTTCTCTGCCTGGAGAATACAACATTCAATTTCAGGATGAAGATTTTATTCTTAGCTCATATATTGGAAAAATGAAGTATCTGACTCTGTTTATTGTGTCTAAGTTATGACATAAAACGGTGGTTTTTCACATAAGAATGACCCACAAGAAAATAAATATTTAGGGAACATTCATGTGTTTTTTAAAAAATTAGCAGCCAGGCATGGTGGTTTAAGCCTGTAATCTAAGTACTTTGGGAGGCCAAGGCAGGTGGATCACCTGAGGTCAGGAGTTTAAGACCAGCTCAGGCAACTTGGTGAAACCCTGTCTCTACTAAAAATAAAAAAAATTAGCTGGGTGTGGTGGCGGGCACCTGTAATCCCAGATACTTGGGAGGCTGAGACAGGAGAATCGCTTGAACACCAGAGGTGGAGGTTACGGTGAGCCAAGATTGTGCCACTGTGCTGTAGCATGAGTGACAAGAGTGAAACTTTGTCTCAAAAAAAAAAAAAAAAAATTAGCAATTCTCTCACTGAATTCTGGAAGAATCAGTCATCGTTCTGGGAAGTGTATCACTTTCTCAGACCTGGTCTTTAGTTAGATGTCCCCAAGAATTGTATCAGTCTGTGTATGAGAAGCAGAAAGACTAAAAAGGAGGAACTATGAAAGAAATTCCTGTCTTTATTGTTTTCCCTTTCTTTTTCTACCCATAGCCTAGACTATATGTATAGATTAATATAAATTAATTTAATATAATGGAAATTTTACTAAGCTTTTATAAAAACCACTCCTTCAGAGAGAGAGAAGAAAATACAGAAGTGTTCAACAGTAAAATTGTCTAGATTTGCTAGCTTTTCACAAAAAATGTTACATTGAGAATGACCATCTCTCTACAAATGTTTCAGTTTGTTGAAAAGAATATTAAGCTGTAAGAACATCCAGCAGACTCAAAAAACAGCAATTTGGGAAAGAGAATGAATGTATCCTTTTTGAAGATAAGGAATACACATTGAATCAACCTAGAGCAATCATCCCCAGGAGGCCCATGTAAGTGGAACTCTATGAAGAAAAAGTTGACAATTCAAAGGAATAATAACCACAGTATTCAGCAATGACATGTGGAATTAATAACACAGGGAAAGTCTATTTGTATCTTAAAATGTCGAACAGTTGAAAATCCACAATGTTTAGTGATTCTGCAACAGTGGCGATTAGTGATTTTGCAACATCAAAGTCCTTTATCTTGATTACAGGCATAGAAACTGAACCTGCCGTAAAGTGGTCTGCTATAGTGTAAGGTGACCCACAGCTGGTGACAAGGGAACTAGCAACACACCATATAGAAACATGAAGCTGACGACAGAGTGAAGCACCCAACACTTAGTAAAGTGCCTGGTACATGGAAAACCACCAGTGTGTATTTGCTGAGAAAGGGAATGAATCCAAAATGGCCAATAGCCCTTACACTTCAGGGTTGTATCCATCGGGGTGTGCAGGACACCTCTTCTATGGAAGCATATGAAGATGGTGATTACAGTGATGACAGCAGCAAACTTCCGTTGTGCTTAATGTGCAACTGACCATCTTTTCGCGTCATGAGCATTAATTCTGTTAACTGCTATCTCAATCGGATGAGAGCAAGTAGTCTTCTTATTTCCATTTTATAGAAGAGGAGACCGAAGCATGGACTCAGGTGAAGTAACTTGCCTGCGTCATCTAGCTTAGAATCACCTAGACCCAGAGCCCACATTCTTATTTTCCTGAATGTCTAGGAGTAAACCAAAAGGATCCCAATTTGACTTCATCTTAGCAAATTATTTTGCACAAGCAAGTCACCTTTTACAGAAAAGGCTTACTGCTTCCCATGTCCTATGCAGATAACAAGAAATGAGGCTATGAGAAGAGAGGAGGTTTCACTATAAGATTTATAAAGTTTTGTCTTGGAAGATAAAGCAGGGGGCAACTACTTACTATTTAAATCAAAAGAATGCAGGGCAGAACAACAAATGTGATTGCATTCAGAGGGTTTGGTGGCTACAGAGCTGTGAGAGTTCAGTTGTGGTCTTCAAACATTTCTATTACCTAGGGAAAAATGTTGAGTATGTCCACCCACTATATTTATATCTTCCTATAATTACTGCATATCCATATCAATCAATATGACAAATATTTAAAAAGCTAATTTATTTCAAATTTAAGATACAGATAAAAGTTTTCACTTTTATTTCACATCTCAATGGAGCATCCATCATATTTCTCAGGATTCAAGAACTATACTTTGGAAACCCCTGGCGGTGGGGGGAACACCAGGAAAAAGCCTAGACAAATGCTAGACTATCTTGAAGAAACATAAAAGAGAAACGACTATGAAATTCAGGGCTTGGGATCATGTTCCAGATGCTTTCCTGCTCATGGTCTCCTTTAATGCTCCGACAACCTGGGAAGTAGGCAGAGGGAGGGGGCCAGAGATCACCCGGAAAAGGAATGTGCTTCCTTGAGCACATTCTTCAAGAGTGACACCCTTGAACTGATGTGAATATGACATTGTTAACGATATGATGAAAATACACAGGAATCAGTGCAAAAGCAACATTAAACAGAAGGTAAAAAGGGAAGTGACTTCTTAAGGTGCTAAGTCCCTGCTAAGCAACTAAGGGGGGCCCATTTCTGTACCCCTGCCTGACCCCTCTCCCAGGCTTGCTCCTAATAGAAGATGGTGGACTTAAAGAGCTTGGCTGCTGTGTAGGATTTTAAGTTATGCACTGTACCAGGGTGCCCAGGTGAAGGGCAAGCATAGGCTGAAATCTAGCTTATACGCCTCACTCAGCTGTGTGCATCTGGGGCTATGTCCACACAGTGCAACTGTGTTCTTATACTTTTCACAAAAACATCTAATTGGCTGGAATCTGCCATGCTGGAGAAATAGGACACATTCTCTCCCTTCTACAGAAGAAACTGACCAAGGCTCAGAAACCTTCAGTGACCTGCACAAGTTCATGCAGCTAGGAAATGGCAAACAGAAATTTAAACCTGTCTTATCTTTCCAGCCTAGTGTTCTTCCACACTCCCTACATTCTTCTCATTTCACCTAGCTTCTGCAGGATGGCTTTGTAGAGAATGGTCCGGTGTAGGAGGCTTAAACCACAGGCAATCTGCAGACATACCTTTCACTCTTCTAACTTCATATTTCTCTTTCATTCCTTCATAAAGATATTTTTTGAAGTGTGCCTACTCAAATATCAGAAGAATAAAGACAGCAATCTATTTTCCAAAAGCTGTTAATCATCCAGAAATGAGCTTTGAATAGAAAAAAAATACTGGAATTTAGTCACTAAGAGCAGTAGCATCTCATGTTGCTGAGGGAACATATCACAACAAGACTCCTGCAGAGAGGCAGCTCTGAGTAGAATTCAAAAAGAATGTGAGGGCTGGCTGTCAAATCCAGGACTACAAAAAAGAAATAGCCAGGTTAGGAGGTCCACCAGTAAACAGTATGAAGATTTAAACAGTGAAATAGCTACAAGAGAGAGGAAGTTACCTTCCATGTTAAATAGAAACTGAATTTCTGAGCACTGCAATGTTGAGAAGAACTGGGAAAACGATCAGTATTTTCTAAGGGAAAAATAAGGAAAAAAAAAAAGGCAGGCAGGCTTTTTTAAAAATTTTATTTTTTTTAAAAAAAGGTTAAATGGTGTTTTGACCATATCTTTGTAAGAGCAGCCTGTGAGAATTTGGAAGTTTTTGTTTTATCTTTGCTATCCTTTTGAGAAGTCCGCCTAGTCATACCTATACTTCACATCTCTTTTTCTGTCCCCAGTAGTTTAAAGATCAGGGTGCAAAACAAGACTTAAAGAGAGGCTGCAAAACAAATTTCAAAAGAGTAATTGTAGGGTTTCAGGCTGTTGGTGCAGGACTAAGAAAAAGTGGTTGGAGCATGGGCAGGGAGAAAGTACCCAACCCAATCCCCTACTACAAAGCCCTGAGGCTCAGTTCATCACCAGCAGATCATCCACACACAGCATCACAGGGAGGAATTCTACCATTTTCTTTCAAGGACAACCTGCCTTTGGGGAAAAAAGACTTGAGAACAGAGCTAAATGGTGTCTTCATGTAGGAAGAGGGAGAGAAAAAGGGGGAAGAAATTGAGGAGGAGAGGTGAAGAAAAAAAAATCAAAATGAACAAGAGAACCCGATCCAAAAAAGCATCAAAGTGAGAAAAGTTAATATTCTAAAAGCTGCTATGAGAATTCTGAGGATTCTTAGAATGAAATGATTTATGGTAAGGAAAATGTCTAACTGCAGGAGGAGAGAGACACAGAAAAGAATGAGACACTGAAAGCAAGGGTCAGGTTAAGCTAAGGTACAAAGAGACGGCTAAACTACCTACTTCACATTGGAGTGAACAGGCTTGGAAGAAGGAGGAGGAGGTGAATTAGGAGAGCACAGACAGGCTATAACAGAAGAAGAAATTAGGTCAAGCCACCCAGCAGGTGGCTGGCATATATGCTCATTATTTCTATTTTGACATACAAATACCTTTCAATGTTTCTCAAACCTTTAGTAAAATCTGCTACACACACACACACACACACACACACACACACACACACACACACCCCAAACGCACCTTTTATGAATGCATTTTGTAGAAATCACAGCAAATTTCATGCTGGGATCAAAGTTGTACAGAGTTTGCCTGGGATAGGTAAAAATCTCTAATCTAAATTATTTTCATGAAAGCAGAATCTGGGACCATGGGAACCTAATCCTTCCAGGAACTTGCCTGGGGGCATTAGACTGGAGTTTGACCCAATATCCTCTGGATCCTTAGGAACAACTAACATCCAGGTGCATAAAATAATCCTCAAGGCTTCCCAGTTAAAGTCCCTGGAGAAAAAAATGTACACATAAACTTCTTCC